ATGTTACGAGAACTCTGGTCCAATCACAGACCATCTACTTCTTTTGTTGAACAAAAACTTTGATCAAACTCTTTGGCTTTCTAAGAGGTGCCACTTGCAGACTGTTTTAAACATTTGGCAAAGACGACCAACTATTCACATTGTAGACACAGGTTCTTGACTAAACAACAAATATTGAGAGCTCTGACGAATACTTGCTCACTTGCAATGCTGCTGTTGACATTAACTAGATAAAATATTTTCTGAACATTGGATGAATTTTATTCAGAACTTGAACAAAGAAGGTTCAGCAAGGAGAGTACACAGAGAAACATTTTCAAAAACTCTTCAGGCATTTTTAGTTTGTTGATCAACAGTATTCGTCAACAGGCACTGCCAAGACACGGTCTAAAATAAAGGTCAAGGGTCAGGCGCTGACACAGTTGTTTTCTCTGCGTGTTGTGCCTCCACACAATATTGTATTTTCTCTACCTCCTCAGTGCAGTATCGTCAGCGTTACACAACACGACAGGATATTAACAAACTGTTATACAAAATTTCAATTTCAAACTGACAACCTTGTGAAAATATTTTCCCTGTTGAATAAAACTAATATACACCAACCATGCCAAAATGCTGACTTAAACTCACTTACAAAGATGGAAAAAACTTCTATTGAATAAAAGCTACATATGCACTAAAACCTCAACCTGTTAGACAAAGAAGAATGTGTTGCATGTGTGTGATGTCTGTTATTCTGTTAGCATCTCTCCACAACCTGTAGCCAGTGTCAGAATCGACACGACAAAAGTAGATATTCATAAATACTGTATTTGCCGTGTTTAGTGCCATGGTCCAAAAAGTGCTATCTGACCAAATTCTAGACCAAAAATACCAAAACTTTAGTTGACAGTCCACATTTTCTTGTTTGTTTCAGAATTCATTTTGAGGAGATAGCAGAGCACAATAATTATAGAATAACATATCATATAATAGAACAGGCATATATATTATTGAAAAAGATTTTAATCGACAGTTCAACCAAGTTTGTCTACTACCAATCAATCTGAAATTCTTTTTAACCTGCATATGGTTTTAATAATAATCTTTCAAATTTCTAAGCACCCAGGAAGCTTATTATGGTGGATGACAGGCTGTCAATTCCACACATAGTTTCAAAACATCGGCATCTGTTCCAACAGTACTCCTAATTTATCAAGGTCGAAATAAGGACTTTTCTGCATCAGTCATCCTGTAGTGATGGATGCAAATGATGCTGCTGCATTGACTTACTGTGGGCCTGTGGCCTTTCAGTGTGAAATAAAACATATCCTAAAGACCTGCTGCAAATCCAGTGTCATCTTTTATGAAGAGTACACAATCACATTAACATGATAATTGTCAGGTTGCATATCACATCTTTTGACTACCATAGATTTAGTGTTGGATGAAATGAGCATAGAAATGATATCACAACACACCACAGGAAGGTCATTCCAATAGAAAATATAGCCATATCTACTATGCATACTAATCCTGTATTAATCATGAGATATGATTGACAGCTCTGACTGTCAATCAAAGAAGAGAGCCCCAGGCCAGATCCTAATCTCCATCAATTACCGCTAACTATGATTGCGGGTTACATAACTAACTCTCACACGATGTGGGCTAGACTGATATATGCAGGGTGCCTGCAGGCTATATATATCAATGATCTTACTATATCTATGTGGCTAATAAACAAGGCAACACTGCATATCTCAATACCACATCTAAAGCCAAGAGCAGGTAAATGTCCATATATTTTGCAATGTAATTACAAACAACAGTATTTCACATATAAATGCATAAGCTCAACAGTGATATTTCGTTTATCTGAGCACTCCCCCTTGTAAAATCAGGTTAAAACATTAAACAAATATTAACAAAATACAATCATTACATAAGTATGTTACGTTTGAAATCATGATGGATGTATAGAACACAGAAAGGGGTGGAAAAGACCGCATAAATCTCATAATTATTTTATAAAAACACCAAGGTGCCCTTGGAAATTACTTGCAAGAATGATTTTTATCTGATTTAAACTGTTGCCACTTTTTGAGATACTATTTATAGCAATGTTAAGGTAGTCTTGTTAGCCATCTGCTGACATCTCGTAACAGCTTATAATCCTTTTTCAAGCTCTTCAGGAATGCATTTGTCTCATTCATAACTTACAAAAGAGCTTCTTAAGTTAATGAGATTTTGAGGATTGGCATAATGCTTCTTTTGTACACTCTAATATCTAGCAGTGGAAGTTGTTCATCTTTAATTAAGGGCAAGAAGCATGCTTTGTAAGGTGAATCATATGAGATTAGGCAGTTCTAGGCTGTAGGTTCATCATAAGGCAATTTATTTATTTTTATTTTCCCTCAGGGATAAGTCGTGGCTACTGAAAGAAATCCATTTAATGAATTTTACCAGCTGTCAGCATTCCTCTTACAGTTTTTACTGAATTCACTATTACGATGCCAGGTGCACTGTGGAATTGAAGTTCACAGTTTGTTTCATTATGCTTCAAGAATTCTAAAAGAAAGTTATCTTTAAAAAATTCCAAAACAAATTTGATACAATTTAAAGGAATGTTCAGAACGGATAATAATTACTATCGGACGGAAAGGAGCCAATTTTTATAGATGTTGTCTCTGACACCTGGCTTTAAGCTGAAACTGGGTGGGTTGAGGGGGGAACAAAAGTCACAGAACTGAACAGTGTATGGGGAACTGGTTTTCTTTTACTGGGGACAATCAACCCGAGTTCATAGAAATCTTACAACAATCTGAGTGAAGATGGTTATTCACATAATTTTCTTTCTCCCACTCCAATCGAGTCCCCTGATTTTCAAACAACACAAAAGGCCTGCAATGGCTTTTGGTTCTCCCCTTCTTGTTCGTCTCAGAACGGGTGTGAATTGGCGTTTCTTTTCGCGACACTGGGCTATGCATGGCCCAGGACAGTCTGTGACCTTACCATCATGGGCTCTTTTGATCTCATGGAGAGAAATTCACCAACAAGCAGGGAATATTATTGACGTGAAAGGCTCGGTGCAGTTTCAGAAAGGAAAGCAGGCCTTTGTGGGGCTTGAACAGCTTTCAATGTACATCGGTGGACTAGGGCCTATTCAATGTCAACATTGGTTTCATGAACTAAGAACGGGGCACACCTAATCAAAGTCAAATCTGAAGCACTCCACTCAAGGCAAACATGACAATTCGCACACATATTATATTCTCCTATAGGCTTTGTTCGTTTCACACCTAGCCAAAAAACCTTGGAAGCTTTTTTCCCACCCTGATTGAAAGCCATCTGTGTGTGGCGAAATTCAAACGTATTATATTAACTACACCGATAATACATTAACTGATCAAATCTATGAAGGTTTAAGATTACAGGTGTTTTCTCTATAATTACATTATCAGAAACATAATTGCTATATAATCTGTTACAAAAACATAATTCTATAAGGTTAAATTCTTATCAATTATACTTAAAAATAAATAGCTTTCAAAAATTAATATAAATTCCAGAATAAACATTTATTTGGAAAATTGAAGGGATTTCAAAGGTTAATGGAAAATTGTATGGAAAATGTCCTAAAATGTCATCTCCTAAAACAAAACAAAGAGGAAATATATTCAAAAGTGTGTGAATGAAACAAATCCATCTCATAGACACATCTTGGCTTAAGTGCTGACATATTTCAGTAGCAAATTAACAGTTTGCTACTGCCAAACAGACAACTAAAAGAACCCCTGACCCTCCAAAGCAATAAACATATCACACTCTCCCTTGCCTGAAATATATACCAAAATACTTGCCCAAGAGACAGCAGTAGCCACAGAAATAAAGTCCATTTGTGACTGCTATAACAGTAGTCCAAATGCATGCGGTGTGCTCTTAAGTATACTGTTAAGACTTCAGTGGTAATATGATAATGAGATTGTCATTACCAATATATGGATTAAGAGAGTTGAGTTTACAGTGTTAGGGTAATATACCCATTTTGATGATGTGGGTAACTGTAGAGTAGTAATGATACCACTGACAGAGCCACACAATGCATGAGGATAAGGTGCAATGAACCGTGTTATAACTGTACATTTGATAGCAATAAAATGCAATTAATCCACTCCTGTTCTAATTTCATGCTTATTTGCAAGGGGATATAAATATGTCACCCACACCCATCCAGCTTAGTGTCAGAATGCGTATTTATTTTTATCACATTTTCATGAACACAGGAAAAGTGTTCTTCCGGACATTGTTATAAATACTTATGATAGAAAACAGCAGTGTTTGAATGGTTGAAAGAAATTCCACATATGCATTGCGGGGCTGAATTCATTAAGACCAAATGGAAGTGCACTTAAAACCTAACACCACTGCAAATGAACAATAGCCCAGTCTTACACACAAATCAAATATATTTCATCCAGGTATTTGTTCTGTTATTTCCCTGCCCATTAACCCATGGGACAAGGGCTAACGTGGACAAAGGGTTGTTTCAACTGGTCCCATAGACTGTTGGAGAAAAACAAACACGAAGCACGCAACTAACATGAAAATTAGCTTCCTGCACGCAAGAAAAACGACATTACTTTGTGATAAGGGTCAAAACTTTGAGACAGGTTAAAAAAGAATTATGTCGTTCAACTTGCCTCACAGGTGCAGGTATGTGTACGAAATTAGTATCTGTCATGGGTTTTGGCAAGCTAGGAGTCAACTGTCACAGTTGCTGACATGTAGGCGAGCTACGTCAACCACTATACTGCTCCTTCGCACAGGGTTTCCGACTGAACACAAAGCAGGAAGGCTTGAAACGGGCTATCTTCGGATTATGTTACCCCGCCGAGATAGTCTTTACAGTGTAAAGCAACCATGATATTATAGACTGTCAGTTTTCACAATAAACCCTAGTCGTGTTTTTTGTGAGAATGCAATGTGTGTGACGGGGTTTAATGGAAAGACACACTCACCGTTGGCAGACGACAGGTCGGTTGTTGATACTACCAGCGCTAGTACTAGACAAGCGATCGCCATTCTAAGGGGCAATACTGCTGGAAAAAAAGAAAGAAAGAATTTTAAAAGAATATGCAGAATGATCATATAATACGTTAACATCGAGTTATATATTTCCAAAATTAGCTTTGTAATATTTCATTTCCGCTGATGAAACATTTCATCCTTCCGTGATAATCAGGAACTGGGCAGACATGGGTTCGAGCACGTTTCTGTGAAATCTCATTATGGTTCCGAACGAAATATTATAAATTGACAAATATTTCTGGTGCAATCGTAAACTAGTTAAAAATAGGCATATATTACAGCAACGTGGTTTGGAATGATTGCGATACGGGCCGACGTGCGAGTTTGGTAGCGGAATCAGTGACATCTGAATATTGAAGTGCGGACATTTCTGTGTCGGAACCACTACTCAAGATTGCAGGAACAACGGAAAAGGGACTCCACCCATTCCCACTTGAAAATGAGACCAATCCAAATTATTTCCTCAAATTTCGTGATCATATGTACAGATTAATACCGCGGGTCGTGTGTCTTTGAGTACGAAATTCCAGTAGATCTACTCTGAAAACACAGCAGATTAACGAAGTTGTATGAGTATCGTGGCTATATCGCCTAGCTCGTTAATAACGCTCATAACGCACCAAGATAAAAGTAACACTGTAACAACATAAGCATCCTTTAGCCAATGCTGGGTTAAAAACGTCTTCTACCTGAGGTGAATTAAACACAAGTAGATAATCACGCTCGCTCATGGCTGTATCAGCTAGATTGGTTCATGTCGTGAGGCCACCATCACATAAACACAGTCACAAGTCCGATCTCAGTACGTATCCGAGTTGAACAGAATCAACGCTGTCATCGTGAACACACTAACATCGGAAAATCCTGCACGAGTTCTCTCGACATGTCCTCGCCGACTCAACGTGGAGATGTTGTTAGTCGTACAGAGAATCGCGGAGTTGACCTGCCCCACGTGACCGGCACTTGGCGAATTAGCCAATCAGCAGCCTTCCACTGATGAGAGGCATTCCCGAGCGACCATTCAAGCACAGCGAATGTTTCTTGGTATTTTCTAACGTGCTTTGCCCTGGGGTATGGTCGCTCACTCACATTTGGCCTGTCGTGTCATTTTCATATAAACTGGCCTAAGGTATAAGGACGAAGATAATGTTATCGGGCTTGCTATTGAACTAGTGTCATTCGCCTGCCACGGGAGGTCCTTGTATCTAAAACATAGGCTCGCTTTTCTTTGCGGTGTGATAAAATTATTTCTGATCCAACTCGACTTAAGAGAGACAGAAAAGTTGGTTCGCTTAATAAGAGAAAGCCACACCGGTGGCAGTTTGTTATTTCAGTCTAAGGTCTTGTTAGAGCTATTCAAAGTGATCGACGAGGCCACGGTTTGTGTCCATCAGAAAATTAGGGCAAAAAAAATCAACTATTTTCACGAAAATTACTTGGAAGAATTCATTCAGCTTCATGTGAAATCTACACCGACCTCTTGCCACGCGCGTCATATATTTCACCACCTGCCCTTTCCCATTCATTGTTGTGGTCAAAGAAATAACAAACCATATACCTGTCAATCAATTTTACGTACTTGCAGAAGAAACATGTCTATCGCTGATTAACTTAATAGCAATGATAGTTGAGACAACGCGTCATTTAAACCTCTTTAATGACATGTTTAATGAACAATCGTAAAGACAAAGAAGCTATGTCGCCAATTAAAGTAATTAAAGGGTATCCCTAATTGAGAAGTAATTTGAAGCTTCATTCTCAAGAGGAGGAAATGAACTTTGTGTTGGTTGGCATTGCGCTTGAGAGACGCCAAGCAGATTCGCGCCATCGTTCTGCACATGAACATAATCTCCTTTTGGCGGAGAAAGACGATACACATAAACTCGCACAGATTTTGAGGCTATGTTTATAAAAGCCGGCAACATGAAAGAAGGTTGTTTACAATTACCATCCCCGGCCGCTCGGATCACGATCGACTGACAGAACCCCTGACCCCTATTGTTTTACAATGGAATGACCCATTTGCGTGCGAAAGACATGGAAAAGGACACCCATGACTAAAATTGATTTTTGTCTGACGAAGACTTGCCAGAAATACACACACGAAACGCTTCCGGTTTCATTTCAATTCTAAACACGGGGATTCATCTGACATCACATTCTTTTCAGCGCGAAATAACTATCACCCGAAGAGACACTTCTTTTTGGATTGGAAAAATACTTAACAGAAGAATATGGGTTAATGCTTGCTTCACCACAGACGAGGCAAAATGCAAAACCATATTCAATAATTCAGTTTATGCATGAATGTTTTACCATTTTTTATGTAAGCTGTATTCCAAAGAATGTTTGATATTTTGACGTATTAATGTAGAATATATATCCAGAAAATATGCGAATAACTGATCGGAGGAACGTATTAAAGCAAATAATAAAAAATATAAAGTTTCTTTTGTGTTGTTTCCAAAATTGACCTAATTTGTCCATTTATAAATTGAAACTAACGGTATTTAAGAACAGTATCATTTCCCCCAACACCTTTGTAACAGTACTGACTTGTTGCGAAACATACAGCTTGGCCTTGATTCGACAAACAATAAGGTTTTTCTTTTTGCATTTAAATGATACCTCCATGAAGTTTAAAATAGCATTCCTCACCTTCAAGGCAGCAGAAAATTTCCAACCACGGCATTTGGCCGAACGTGAAGTTTTACTCACAGAATTCCAAAATATCACCTTCGGACAAAATTCACAGTACTCTCGCAAGGGCCCACAGGAGCAAGTGTGGGTATGGGTCAGCCTTCGTGTCTTATCTAACACCCTTACCAGATCTCCAAATCTCTAAGCAAAACATAAGATAACTATTAGCAGTTAACTGTTTAATCCCACAACCATCGCTTATCAAATCAGTACCTGTCGACAATACAAGCCAATCAAATCTCACTATTGTCTTCTACGACCAATGAACGTTAAGCTCCATTAACCATATTACCTAGCTAAGACTCTAAAGTAGTAGGTGCGAAAACTATTGTCCGCGTAACGCTATTGTTCTATTGTTTCCGGCGATTGTTGTCAATAAATTAAAGAATGTTTTAGTTAAACAGGATTAAAACGCGTACTGAGAGAAAGTTAACACCTTTTTTTGCTCCCAGTAATAAAACCAATCACGTGAAAAGGTAATTTAACAATGACTTGCTTAGTTGTTGCTACAGCGGAGCAGGGAATAGCAAATTATCTCTAAGAGATTGTCAAATTGATTGACACCTCTCCCAGATAAGGAGTTATTTGACATGGAGAGTTTTGACAGCTGAAATATACATCCACAGGAAAATAAGCTGTCATGGAAACACACTTATGCTGCGAAAACAATTAGTTTAACAGACGTTATTAAGTACGGAGAAGTGTATTACCGAGTTGATAATTTTCTAAATGGTTAAAGTTAATCTCTTAATGAAGTTATGACTGAATATGTTTACTTTAAACCTGCAAAGGAAATGTTTATTTCTTCCTATTTGTTGACACTTCTGTTTCAAAACATCTTTTCTTCGACAACATTATTTGGTCGTTGAGTTGCCATGTTCTACCAAAATAATGTAAATTGAATCACCTGCGTGTTCAATTGTCGAAATAATATAAATTGGATATTGTCATTTCATTTCAGAATACAATCATCACCGAATTGTAAATTTCAAAATTCGAAAAAGTTTAAATTACAAAATGATTTTCTGCGAAATGAAGATCATCACTTAACAAAAAAATAAATGGAAATCTAATTATAGTTAAACAACGGAATAAATAAGATGGTTTTTTCCGAACGCTCATTTGTACATTAATCATCGTGAAATATTCAAATTGAACGCGAGGATTCACTTCTAGCGATAATTATTGACTGAAAAAGGTGATATACTCCGACTAACATATACTCAAGCTATATAAGACAAAAAAAATTAATAGTCTTGGTTCTCAGGCACTGCCCACATCATCATAAAGTTCATTGCACGTTTCGTTTTTCTTTTCCATTTTCAATATTTTTTGTGCATTGTGTTTAAGTATTAGGATTTTTATATTTTTTTGAAAATGGAAATAAAAACAAAACGTGCGGCAGACTTTAAGATGATCCGGATGGTGCCGGAGAACCAAGACTATTATTTTCTTTAGCCTAAGCTATATACGATATTTGGACAATGCGAGTCGGTCGGTTATTTATAACCGAATTCAGTACTACCTAACTCGCGTTGATCAAGTCAAAACGAAAACAGAGAAATCATTAGCCTTAGTTGTAGATAAATTATTGATTTGCTATATTCTGAGAAATGAATTACTGGCTACAATAACACAACGGTAACCCAGCGGTCGTCACTAGATACGCTGCTATTATTGTTCAATGAAATATTCATAAACATGCAGAAACCTTTGTCGGCTTCTGTTCGTCATGCTAATTACACAAATGACTTTAATCTACTCTGTACATCAAGTTTCTATTTGTGAAGGTTTAGTGTTTCATTGTCATAAATATCTTTGGTAATACGGTATCTATTTGCTGCCTCGTAAACAAGCGACAGAAACGATGAGTATTATTATGTTGGAACGGGAAACTGTGTTTTAGCGTTTCAAGAACACATTTATATGAATAATATATTCGTAATAGCTATGGAAATATGTACGTAAACTCGTGACAACGTTGTGTAAACACGTTTTGTAAACACTGCTAAACGCATGGTTACAATATTGGCAATAAATTTCCCGAGCGCTTCCGCGAATGAATGAGCGAGCAGTTCAGAGTTCTAAACGTTTTAGCGGGAGCGCAGCAGGATGAAGTCTATTAAACAAATGCTCATCCCTCGGCGAAGCGTATGTTATGGGGCAATAATTGGCCACCAGGGCGCGCTACGCTAGGCTCCACGTATGATCACTCGACCTTTCAATATCCAGGAACTGTTGAGAATAATTACATGCACATTACATCCATCTTTGGAGTAAATCCTTACGCGTGGCGACCGCTTCACTTGTC